TTATAAAGTCAGTGTAATGAAAAGGGATTTTAATTTTTAAAGAAATTCGAGATATTATGGGATACAAATGTTTTGTTACATGAATTGCTTTTGTACAGAATTGAGTCAGAATTATAATGTGCCATCACCCAGGTAGTGGTGCACTGTACCCATTGGGTGTGAATTCACCCATTTTCCCCTCCTCTCTCCCACTTACTTGATTTCCATTGAATTTTCCTACTGTATGTGCACATGAGTGTTGATCTATTAGTTCCAATTTTAGTGTGAGTTCATGTGTTTTTGTTTTCCATTCTTGTCATATTTCACTTAAAAGGATGGTCTCAGTTCCATCCAGGTTGTTACAAAAGCATTATGTTCACCAATTTTTTTTGAGCTGAGTAAACTCCATGGTATACATATACTATATTTATTAATCCATTAATATATCAATGCACTTGAGTGTTTCCACATCTTGCAACTGTGAATTGTGCTGCTATAAATACTAGAGTGCAAGTGTCTTTTAATAAAATGTCTTTTTTTTCTTGAGTAATACCAGTAGTGGGATTTCTATTTAAATGGTAGGTCTACTTTCAGTCTTTGAGGTATCTCCTACTACTTTACCATAGAGATGTACTAGTTTGCAGTGTCACCACAAGTGTGTAATGTTCCTTTCTCTCCACTATCCACACCATCATCTGTTGTTTTGGACTTTTTGAAAAAGACATTCCACTGAGTTAAGTGATAATCTCATTGTGGCTTTGATTTGCATTTCCCTAATGATTAGAGACAGACATTTTTTCATATGTATTGCTATTTTTAAATAAAAAATTAATGAAAATATATTTTGTAATGTTTTTAACTGTTTCATTATATGAAAGATTTTTAATTAGAAAAATGAATGTTAAAATTAGAGATTATTAATTGTCAACCTGGATCAGAACTCTTAAAATCTGGGACTTCTAATATATATTATGGACTGAAAAAATCAAGAGAAGATACTGAAGTTTATTCCAACTATTTATAATGTTTTAGATTACATAGCATGATGAGAAAACTCTGAAATGATGTAACTTGAAGATTTTAGTTTACTTTAAAAAATAGACTTTCTTTTTTAGAGTCATTTAGGTTCACAGCAAAATTGAGTGGAAGTACAGTTTCTTTGTACCTCTTTCTCCCACATGCACAATTGCTGCACTGTGACATCCTATATTACAGTATACATTTGTTAATGGATGAACCTACACTATAATTGTTATCACCCAAGTCCATAGTTTTACCTTAGATTCCCTCCTGGTTGTACGTTCTGCTAGGTTTGAAAAATGTATAATGGATGTGTATCCCCCATCAGGATAGTATCATACAGAATAGTCCACAGCCTAAAAATCTTTTGTGTATGCCTCTTCATCCTTTCCTCTCTTCTAACTCCTGAAAAACACTGATCTTTCATGTCTCTGTAGTTTTCCTTTCCAGAATGTCTTACAGTTGAATCATACAGTATGTAGCCTTTTTCAGAATGGCTCCTTCACTTAGGCATGCATTTAAGGTTCTTCCATTCTCACTTTCCTTTTTAAAACTCTAGTTTATATTATTTTCCTTTATCTTATTGAAACTTTTAATGGATTCAATGTAGGTAACAATCAGCCAATAATTCGAATTATACAATTAAATCCATTTACTAATTAATTATTAATACTGAGAGGATTTTTTGGGTAAATATTTAGAGACAGAGGTTGTATATGGTACCTAACTTTTGGTGATGTGCCAGTAAATTATTTGGACATCTAGAGATTATACTATCTTATAAATTTAAAAGTACATGTGGTTTTAAATTAACAGGCTGACCCATCGTTTGATTGAAAAAATCAAGGACAAATGAAAATGTCTCCTCAAATGAAGATCTTCCCTATCTTGCTCAATATTAAAATATTTTGGTCCCTTTGAAGTGTAATTGCAATTTTAAGGTTTGTTGGGTTTTATGGGAGGCTATTAGTGAGTAGCCTTAAATCTTTTCTGAAATGTCTTTTTCCTGAGATCTGTGATCTAGTTATATGAATACTTTGTCACTGACTTCTTTGGTTTAATGGTTACTTGTCTAAGGATTTTACATATATGATGCTATAGATAAAATCCCATTTAAAACAAATTCTGTTAATTGAGAAGGGTTATGTATTTTTTTAAAAGTCAAAATATTTTCATGTCTCAGTAAATGGTCAGTTATAATAGTGATTTATTTATGAAGAATAAAATTCCATAGAAAGTACTTTATTGGAACTTTTATTACTGTGAAGGAGAAAAAGAATTTAGCTATTTCTTGACAATTCTACAGTTTTACACATAAATTTTCAAAATAAAGAATACTATACCACACAGTGATCTCTCTGATTTTGCAGATGGAAAGAATTATATATATGTCACTTTATATTCAAATTTCAGTTGCTGGTCTTCACTTATTGAAGTCTTGTATCTTTTTAATAAACTGGCCCTGAAAACTATATAATATATATAATTTCTAACAGTGAGTTTACAAAAACAATCAGATTGGCTATCAGAAGTCACTGTACTGGAATTTTGCCTGTAATAACATAAAGGGGAAGAAACAAAGTGATTCTAATGTATTAAAGCTAGCAGAAACTTGCTTTATGGCCTTTTTTTTTTTTTTTACTAAAAGGAAATTAGAATAAAAAGTGGTTTAAGAGACTTAGCTTTTATCATGAAAAGAGCCTTATTTGGAAGTAGAGATAGATAGGCTTAGATGAGAACATTATTTTAGTAATACAATGTTAATATTATTGATAAATCATTTTAAGAGATATATTTCTTTAGGAATTGTCTTGTGGTGCCAATCTACAGTCACAGTAGTGAATGTGAATGAAGAGTAGGTACTGAAAGCTAATCCTACATTGTGCCAGGGTGCAATAGTAACACATACATGAATATAAATGAACATAAAGATTAATGTATTGTCGGAAATAAGCTGAGATTACTAGTTTTCTTTTTTTTTGGCATGACATTAAACATAGTTTTAAGTAACAAAATACTGCAATGCTTAGTTACAACATCTGGAATCAATATTGTTTCATTTGTTCATTAATTTATTCATTTAGCAAACACTGTGTTAAGCATTTAATGTGTACCAGACACTGGCAGGATCAGGAAATAAAGAAATGAAAATGGAAAGTCTGCCTGCAATTGCTATACAGGGGTCAGACAAAATCAGCTATTGGAATTTAATGTGTTAAGTGCCATAATGTCCACAGAAGAAACTGTGGAGGGGGAAACACTTCTGAGAGCAGGTGGCAGTAGATCTGAGTATTCAAGACTGAATGTTAGGCAAGTAGACTGTGACGGTTTAGGCTTAGAAACCTACATGTACTTTCCTTGAGTTCTGCTTCCCCTGTTATTTACTTTACAATTGACATAAGTGTCCAAATTCCATCTCATTCACTGAAGGTGAAGAGAGGAATTGGAAGTAGGAGTTTGGGGCTCTCAAAATTAGATTTAGAGGCTCTCCAGCACTGCTTTGTGATATAGCTCACTGAGCAACTACAAAGATTAACAGTTACAAGTTTCTATAAATCATAATATGACTAACCTCAGGGAAGGAATTTTCAACAGCTGCAACCTTGAGTCTTTTACTGTGTGAACTTGCAATGATATAAGTGATAACATTATAACAATAACATGTAAAGTATTTAAGGAATTCTCAAATACTTTACGGACCTCTTAAAAAATGTAATTAGCCAATTGATCCAATTTATGTAGGTTGATACTGTCTTATATAAGTTTTTCTTTGTTAGAAAACCTTTGGAAACACATTTTTAGTGGAAGTTGTCTTTTATTTATTAAACTTAATAATCAAATTACTATAATTAAAATCCACTTAGCCTTTTCAGTAGTCTAAATATTTGGTAACTCCCTAGCTATCTATAACACTAGTTCAAAACAAAGCTAATTTATAACCTGTCTTAAAATGTTTTAAGTGGTACTGAGAGTGTTATTTATGCATGTTGTGATACTATTTGTGTAATTATGTAATTGTAAAATTTTTATAATGAGCCATTTCAAACTGTGCTTACTTAGCTAGAAGAAAATGAAATAAAATGGAAAAATACTGTGTCAAATTTGCCTGTCTGGACTTTTTTAATAGTACTGAACACAGAGGTTCAAATAAAAGGTGTTTGATAAATTGGTTGATTACAAAGCATGAAAGGTTCACTGTAGAGAAGTGTAAACACACTTCTTTCATATAAAGAATTTAAGGTTAAGAGCCCAGTTTTTATTAATGGCTCATATACTTATAGTTTTTGATGTCAAAAAGTCATCTACTTGATGCTTACAACTTTTATTAATTTTTTAGTGTATACTAGGTACAAGTACTCCAAGTCACTAAAATGAAGCTAAAACCTGTTGATTCATATGTTATGTCAGCTTTTATTTTAGAAGTATAAGTACAAAAAAACATCTGTGATTCAGCTTAAATCAACTTAATGAAAATATCTAAGTTCACTTCTGATGAAGGAGAATGAGTTCCTTATTGTATGATTAGTTATTTGAAACCACCATAGGTAGGGAAGGATCCATAATCAACAGTGGTGCATTAATTAGACCAATCTCTAAGCCAAATATTTTTTGAGGAAGTATCTTTTCTATTCATATAAAATAGGTATCTCAAGCTTAAAATATTCCTCTTCCCAATCCATTCTTCTCAGTTTTCCTCATCTTTTTTTTTTTTTTTTTTTTTTTGAGACAGAGTCTCGCTTTCTTGCCTAGGCTAGAGTGAGTGCCGTGGCGTCAGCCTAGCTCACAGCAACCTCAAACTCCTGGGCTCAAGCCATCCTCCTGCCTCAGCCTCCCAAGTAGCTGGGACTACAGGCACAAGCCACCATGCCCGGCTGATTTTTATATATATATATATTAGTTGGCCAATTAATTTCTTTCTATTTTTATGGTAGAGACGGGGTCTCGCTCAGGCTGGTTTTGAACTCCTGATCTTGAGCAATCCACCCGCCTCGGCCTCCCAGAGTGCTAGGATTACAGGCGTGAGCCACCGCGCCCGGCCATTTTTCCCCATCTTTTAATGGCAAATCTAACCTTTTGTTACTCAGGCCAAAAATCTTGGAGTCATCCTTGACTCCTGTCTCTCACACTTCATATCTTGTCAGTAGTACCTTCAAATTTTATTAAAAATTTGAGCATATCTCACCACTGTTGTCATCTTGGTCAAGTCATCATCATCATCTCTCGTCTAGATTACAGGAGTAGCTTCCTCACTGTCTCCCTGCTTTTGTCCTTTTCCACCCTACTGTCTCTTCTCAATATTTACACTTTGAATAAACAGTACATGTATGCCTGTGTTCTCTCAGGCCCACAGGTCCTAAATACCTTGCCCTCAGATACACACAAAAGGTTTGGGCACCATGTGTCACCTTCAAGGGATCTGAAACAAACATCAGTTCATTCCTCTCGGTGCCCAGTGTCTCTACCTTTTCAGACACTTGTCCTCTCTTGCCTCGAATATTGCTAGAATCTCTTGACGAGACTCCATCCCTCTAGTTGCTCCTTTTCTAACACAGCCTTCATCAGAGTTCTTTTTAAATAACTGACTAAATTGCTTAATTGATCATGAAATTTTCTTGCATACCATTTACTCTCAAGATTATTCCTCAGTTTTTTTCAGCTTTATTTCCTGCACTTGTACCCAATGTGCTAGCCATTTTTACAACTAAACTGAGCACACCTTTGAAAATCTCTTCACCGTTAAAGTCCAGGTTTAAATGTCACCTCCTCTGTGAAGCCTTCTCTGATACTTCCCATCCCCAACTGCAGAAATATTAATTCTTCAGCTTCAGTCCATGGTATTTTGTTAATTTTCCTAGCATAGACCTTATACAATCCAGCCAAGATACAATAGGATATCTCTTGCCACTGGATTTTGAGCTCCTTTGGAGCTGGAGGATTGATTTTTAAATTTATCTTTGTATTTGCATTGGCTTAGCCCACAAACTAATTTATATTATTCATATTAAAATACGGAAAATGCACTTTAATCTTGAGTCCCTTAAAATGTTATCATAACAAATCAAAATATGATGGAAGGCTCTGATTTCAGTCAACTTTCAATCCCCAAACCAAAAGTATAACCTAGATGTCAGCTGGATCTTCTTGGCTTTATGTCCCTCATGGCAGTATCCATGACCAGTATCACTCAAGCATGAAACCTTTTTGTGTTTCAGAAGACTCCACCCACACCAGGCATTTCAAGCCTTTAATTTCAAGCATGTTTATATGGCTATTATTAGCTCCTGCCATCTTGCTGACTCTCTCTTTTCCTCTACTGCTTCTCACCTTGCCTTTGGAACACAATTATCTTATTTTCTCATTAGACTTACTTTAATTTTCTCTGAAGCCTTAGTTCTAGCCTAGATGCCTGGCCCACAGGAAATCACCTAACTTAAGTAGCCTTATTTTAGATAATTTCTCAGCTAAAGAGATTCTCTCAAGATTAATTCTCAATCCAGCTGGCAGGAGAGAAATATTTTCTTCTTGTAACATGTCCCTCTGAGAAAAATATTTGCAGCACTTTGGAAATTTATCACATAAAGTCTCTTTGCAAAGGTGGGTAAGAAGACAACAAAATATTTATCTGTGTTACTTGGGATTCCTGGGTTTTGAAGCCCATCCATCCATCCCACATTTTCCCAGGCAGTTATTCTTAAACCTGTCTGCACTTCAGGACCACTTGGTGGGCTTCCTTAAAACCAACTGCTAGACCTACCCCCAGAATTTCAGATTCAGTAAGTTTGGGGGTGGGGGAGGATTTTGCATTTCTAATGATTTCTGGGTGATACTGGTGCTCTCTCTCCTAGGACTATACTTTGATAATTCCCGCTATAGTGGCTCTTAAATTTGGCTGCTCATTAAAATCAACAACTGAGGAGCTTTTAAAAATCTTTATGTCCAGGCCACACCCTGGACAAAGTAAATCTCAGGATAGATTCCAGGCCTCAGTATTTTAAAAAAAACTCCTTAGGTAATTGCAATGTGTAGGTAATTTTGAGAATCTGTGCCCTATGGTATTGAGTGAAATTCCTTCTGGGGCTACACTCTCAAGAAATTCCCTTTTATGGGACCTGCCATGTTCTATACTATATATAATAATTTTCCTACAAATGGGCAGTAGGGGCAAGAGATAGGGATTACTAAGAATTGTGCTTAAATGAGAATCTGTGTGATTAAACAAGCATCTAGAAGGTGAGCCACATACCTACTTTAAGTGAGAATATAATAATTGCAAATTACTTGACAGAAGTCTTTGTTTCAAAATCATACTTGTTTCTTATTATATTTTATGAAGGAAAAAGGGAAAGAAGAAGGGAGGGAGAAAGGGGGGGATGAAAGACCTGGCTCAAATGAGGCAATGTGCTGTTATCCTTTATCATCCTTGGTTCACACATTCTGCTAAGGGAAGTAATAAACGGGGTCCCATGCAAAGACATACAAAGCCTCAGAAGCTACAAAGCTGAAGCATGGAACAGAGTGGATAAATCCAGGTCTTGCTTGGCCCTCTATTTGGAGCAAAGTAAAAGAAGAATGAAATCTTTTTGGTATCTTGCAATCTGGATGTCATTGCAGACAAAAGAATCAAACTGAGGACTGGTCCAGAGAGGCAGTTTTGGCAGGCACCAAATTAGCATAGTTTGCCACAAGGACTTCAGGTTTGTTTGGGGCAGTCTTTTGACCCAAGAATGGGGTCTACTTTTCTCCACTTCTGAAGATCTTGCTTGTTGGAAATTTGACCTCAAGGAGCTGAGTCATACTTAAATTAACTTCAGCTACTTAAGTCTGGATTCATTTCTCTGATTATTTCCTACTAGCCTCAACACTGATAACCAAAAGCTCAAGATACAAAACTCAAAGTTCAAAAGATAAGACCAAAAGCTCAAAGATACAACCAAAGCTCAAAATTTTCCTTTCCAATTCCTGGTCCTTACTTCCCAGGAATGGCCTCTGTTTTTTTAATAATAGGCAGCTTATACAGAGGCTTTAGTGGCTTGCACAATTAGCAGCCTCACAGAAGGAGCCAAGTCTCTTAAGAGGTCTGTCCTAGAAAGATGGAGCATGGATGGGGATTAGATCACTTCCCAGAAGTCAGACCATGAACCTCCTTTTACCTTACAGTAAAAAATAAAAAAATAAAAAAAATTTGCAAGTCTCTGGATGCTAGTTTGGCTACCAACTTCCAAAGGCCTTACTCTCCTGCTGCTCCTTAACCATTCTACTAAATTAAAAAAACTTTGATTAGGTCTGGCTGTGAGTCCCTGGAAAACAATTTAATTGATTTCAGAGTAGTTCCACACTAACCCTAATCCAACAGTTTGAGATTCTCAATGTAGATTCTCTCCTGCTCATTTCTTTCTTTTTTTTTTTTTTTTGCCAATAAACTTTTAATTGGATTTATGTTGTATATACCGTGTTATGAAAAGCTGTAAATGCTGTATACTCACAATATTTATAAATGTGTAGCATGAGCCTGTTTGGTACTTGATCATTAAGTTTCCCATTTCTAGGACTACATTCCCACTCCTCAATGATAACATCAGCGTGTGCTGTTCATTTGCAACAGGTGCATTTTCAATTGTTGTGGCAACGTGTGCAGCTCTTGACTGGGGAAAGAACCGCCTCCTGCTCATTTCTTGAGTGAAGATTTAGTATAGATTTAATCCTGATCCTTATAGCAAAGGAGCTTAAGAAATTTGCTTAAGAGCATGTAGGTGGTAAATGATGGAATTGAGGTTTGAATCTAAGAACGACACCACAGCCTATGTTCTTAATAACTAACTCTAAGCATTAACTATGTTCCTGGCACATGGTGCTGGAGATATGTCAGATGCTTACTTTTTCGAACTTTGTGCAATATCATAGTGGAATGCAAGAAATCGGTCTCAACATGGCAAATGGCTCAGTACTCTCAAAAGCGATAGCAATGTATACATAGAACATGCAATTAAAATATATTTTATAACTATCTGCTACTGTGAAATCTGTGCAGTTTGAATAGTTAGAAACAACTGTCATCGATGGTTCTAATTTACAGTTGGCTGTACATTAACTGATCGTGTGAGTCTAACAAATAACATAACCTAATATTTCTTGTGGACTTACTTTGAAAAAGATATTGTTTAAGTTTCTGTTCAGCACAGAGTGAACCATGAGAGATTATTTCGGTCCTCAAGAGCTTATTCTAATTGGCGAATAAAGCACATGCTTTTGAAAAATTATCCCCAAAATACAAAAAGCATAGTAAATGTTAAATGAGTGGTCCAGGGAAGTCAGTCCCTGAAACCTAGGTTGGCTGAAGTCTACACGGAAAACGTAAAATTTCTGTCCAGATATAAAGAGTTGTAGAGAAAGTTGGAAGTACATTCCAGGTGGAAGGATCACCGGGAACTATGTTTTATCGCAACCTGCTCCTGAAAACAATGCGGCCGCTCGCACGAGGTACTCGTTCTCGGAGACCCCTGCGTGAAAGGTAAGTGAACGCCTCCGACTGCTACCGGGGTTCAGACTCCGGGCGCGAGCAACGTCGGGACAGGATCCGCCTCGCCGAGCTTCCGTTTCCGGTCCTCAGGCTCTGACTCCGCGGAGACTTGGCTCTCTAGAGAAGGGGGTGGGCCCTCGCGCGCCGCGCAGGCGCACGGGGGGCAGCTGCAATGGCGCTGCCGTGCAACCTGAACAGGTATCTGCTTCTCATGGCGCAGGAGCACCTGGAGTTCCGCCTGCCGGTGAGCCCGTAGCGCCCCCTGCAACTTCCGACGGGAGAGGACAGCCGAGTGGAGTTGGCGTGGGGGTGGAAGTGTCCTGCAGAGCTCGACGATGCTGGGATTCCGGGATCTGTGCTTGTCGGGGCAGATCGTGCGTCCCCAGTGCAATCCTTTGGCCCGTTGGGCGGGGTGAGCCTGGCAGAGGATGTGTGAGAGAGAAGTCTGGCTAAGGGTGTTTATTCCTTCCTGTGTCTGCGTGCCAAGTACCGGAGTTAGGCAGGAGAATATGATGGGTCCTCTCCCTCCAGGAGCTTCTCGTCTGGCGGAGGCTAGAGACATCTGTAGGCTAGAAGTGCAATGTGTTTTAACTGGCAGAATATGCGAGTCAAACTCGGTGGAGGGGTTGGTGGTGGGAATTAGATGCTAGAGAAGTTGGCGGAAGTGTTTTATTTATTCATTCAAGAAACATTTTCCGTGTGCCTATAATCGAATGTGTGGGTGCTGAGGATATAATGATGACAAAAGCAGCCTCTTCCTTCAAGGAGCTTGCTGTTTAGACTAACAGCTGAGCAGGCACATATCGTAGAATTGTAAAATAATGTTGGCAAATGCAATGATAGATGCACGGGGAAATATCAGAGCATATAGAAGGGGAATCTAATCCATCCGAAGGGTGTGGGATGTTGGCCTTTAAAAGGCCTTCCATACGGGGATGACACTTGAACTAAAGGAGTAGTAGGAGTTAGCTGGGCAAGGAGAGAAATATGTAAGTTAGAATTATAAGATGTTCATTATTACTTAGTCACCAGATGTGTGACACAGAGTGGTAAGAAGAGGGCAAGAGATAGAAGGGCCAGAAAATGCAAAGCTTTGAATACCCTGGAGCTTGGAAGAGAAATTTATTGAATAATTTTAAGTAAAGAAGCAACAGAATCTTTTTTTTTTTAGGCAGAGTCTCACTCTGTTGCCCCTGCTAGAGTACCATGGCGTCAGCCTAGCTCACAGCAACCTCAAACTCCTGGGCTCAAGCCATCCTCCTGCCTCAGCCTTCCAAGTAGCTGGGACCACAGGCATGTGCCACCATGCCCGGCTAATTTTTTTTTTCTATGTATTTTTAGTTGGCCAATTAATTTCTTTCTATTTTTAGTAGAGACGGGGGTCTTGCTGTTGCTCAGGCTGGTTTCGAACTCCTGACTTTGAGCGATCCACCCGCCTCGGTCTCCCAGAATGCTAGGATTACAGGCATGAGCCACCACACCCCGCCAGAATCATTTTTTTTTTTAAATCATTTTGACATCAATATGGAGGATGGATTTGAGAGGAATAAGACTGGTGGCATCAGGGACTAGTTAGGAGTCTGTTGGAATAGTCTTGTTAATAGACTAAGCAGGCCTGACCTAGGGCAAGGGGGAAGAGAATTGGATAGATTGGGAAAATATTTAGGTGATAAAATCATTAGATCTGGATTGATTGAATGTGGGGGGAAGAGGGACTAGTGAAGGATGACTCCTGGGGTGGATATAGTAATGTCTCCATTTAAAATAGGAAACACAGGCGGAATGTATGATTTAAATTTCATAGTGAATTTGATGTGCATGTGTGACATCAAGTGTAGATGAGGCAGTAGATATATGAATATGCATAGAGGCAGTGTAGGAGGCAGTGGATATATAAATATGCATAGAGCATGGTACAGTGGTCTGGACTGGCAGTAAATATTTGGAGTCTTCTGCGTATGAAAACTGGGAGAAAAGAGAAATTACTCAAAGCATAGTGTTAAAAGAGTAGTGGACTAAGTACAGATGCTTGGAAGTATTGATATTAAGGGAACGTCAGAAAGGAGAGGCCATGAGGAAGATAAGCAAGTGTCAGAATAAGAAGGATGTGAGGCCACAGAAATTAGGAGGGCAAAGTTTTAGGGAGCAGGGATAAATTGATAATGTTGAATGCAGTTGTTTTTTGGTTAGGAAAGTATGAAAATATGTTCATTGATACTCTCTACTAAAAGTGAATAGGTGATTTTGCTAGAGCTATTGTGTAGAGTTTTAGCAGGACAGCCAGAGTGCTTGGTTTAGTAGTCACTGGAAAATAAGGAAGGGCAGATAAGGTAGACCGCCCTTAATTACAGCATAAGAAGGGAAAGTAAGAGATTGGTTAACAGTTTGAGGAGGACCTAGGGTCTAGGGAGGACTCCTTCCACAGAGAGATTGAGCTTGAGTGTGTTTATAGGCTGAGGGGAAGGGGAGAGTGGATATAAGGGCACAGTGGGAGGTGTTACCCTTTCACTAGAAGGGGAGATTGGTCAAAAGAGAGTTAGGATGGGTATGGGATAGTTGCCTGAGGGCCTGGTAATGGATGAGTTGAAGTTATTTCTTGAGAGATGATGGGTCAGCAGTTGAATGGGGAAATTGAGAAAAATAGTAAAATTTAAAATACTCATTGAGAGCAAAGGAGAGAGTTGTCAAGGCCAAGTAAAACCATTTAGTAGAGAAGAATACAGGTATTAGAACAAAGCTGAAAATTAGCTGAAAGTGGAGATCACATATTTGTATTGTAATTGTGCAAATATTGTATGATTTTCTTTAGCATTGCTCAACTCATTGGCCTAAGGAGCATGAAAGAAGATTGTAGCATTGATTGAGTATTAATGTTTTGAGTATCATGGAGGAAGTAATTTTTAATATTAATTAAAGTATTAATTGATAAAGAAGATGTTCTGTTGGTGAAGGGGACCAGAAAGCCCACTTCTTTGAGAATCAAAAGTAGGCTTAAAGGCACAGAGGCGTGGTTGGTTGGCAATTTGGGAGGCTTGGGAACAAAGGATGAAGTAGTGGGCAGTGAGACTAGAGAGGTGGTAGGATCCATATTTGGGAGTGTTTTGATTCCATTCCAAAGAGTTTGGATTTTGTTTTAGATTTAATGGGGAGCCACTGACTTTTTTTAGCCAAGAAGTGACAAGATCGTTTGTGTTTTAGAACAATAATTCTGGAGAACCAGAGAAAAGATACCACTTAAAGCAGCAATCCTCAACCTTTTTGGCACCAAGAACCAGTTTCATGGAAGACAATTTTTCCATGGACCTCGATGTGGGGTGTGGGGCAGTTCAGTATGACTCAAGTTTATCACATTTATTGTGAAGTCAAACCTCTCTGCTAATGATATTCTGTATCTGCAGCCACTCCCCAGCACCACCTCAGCTTCACCTCAGATCATCAGGCATTAGATTCTCATAAGGAGGAGGCAACTTAGATACCTTGTATGTGCACTTTACAGTAGGTTTTGTGCTCCTGTGAGAATCTAATCTGATAGGGCAGAGCTTGTGCAGTGATGCGCGCGATGGGGAGCAGCTGTGATACAGGTGAAGCTTGGCTGCTGGCCCTCTGCTGAGCTCACCTGCCACTCACCTCCTGCTGTGTGGCCGGTTCCTTATAGGCCACAGACCAGTAGGTGTGTGTGTGTGTAGGGGGGGGGTGACTGCAGACTTATAATAGAGTGGGACTTGGTAGAAGCCAAAGAGGGTTAGTGCCTAGAGTAAAGTAATGCAGTGAGAGTGGAGTGGTTACGCTGTACTCTCCAGAATCATATCCCTAGCACTTGGTGATTTTACTAGTTCTTCCCACTGAAATTCTTCTTACTGTATTACCCTAGTGCCAGTTCAATCTTTCAGAAGCTCAGTTCTGTTTTATGTCCTCATTGTCCCAAGGATACAGCTCCTTAGTCTGGCATTCAAAGCCCACCACTGCATGGTTCTCTTCTTTGTTCTCGCACTCCCCCCAAGTCCTTATGGCTGCCAAACGTGACTCCCCATTATTCCCTGAATGATACCTTCCATTTTCCTGCTTTAACCTTTACTTCCTGTGCACCCTTTAGTCTGGTTGGAGTCTTTCCTTTCCCATTTTTTAATCTATTGACTTTATATAGTCAATATTCATTTAGATTTATCTATGTATTTATTTTAGGCTTATATTTTTCACATGATTCTTTTTCAGATCTGTAATTTCCTTTTTGTAGTTTTTCCTCCTCTGGCAAAATTCTTAATTTTTGTCTTTTACCTCCTTCAATATAGAAAGCATAAAGTACATGACTGATATAAGGGGTCCTGTTGGTCTGCGTCTATTGTTTATTGTTTCTTTTGATTCTTTTTCATAGATTTGCTGGGTTATTTTTTAAATGTGTGCCAGATGCTGTATTTTAAAATTTTATTTGAAGAAATAATTGAGGCCTAGGATGATATGCATCCTCTTGAAGAAGTTAGGAACGGATAGGAGCATGAGTAATTTAGGATCACTTTAACACATTTTCAGGCATTAAACTCTGTGTTCTGATTCCCACCTGCTTTCTAGGGTCTGTAGCTTTTTGGGATCCTAATCTGAACTGGGTGGTTTATCAAGTCTCCTTTGTTCCTCATGTGTGGCCCTTTGATTTTTTTTGTCTCTTTCACTCCATCAGGTTGTCAGAAGGGCTGTTTATTCTCATATCTGCTTTTGGAATTGATAAGTGTTTTAGGGAAAAGAGTGCCTCCACCTTGGAATTTCTGTCCTGTTCTGGATCGTGGTTTGGTAATTCTTAATTCTTCAAGTAGATGTCCAGCTTTTCTAGCTCTTCTTAGCCGGAAGCTTAATCTGAATTATTGTTTGCCGTCCCTGGAAATGGAAGTCCTCTGTCAATTGATTTAGATTCTTCCTGTTTTTCAGGGCTTAAAGTCACTTTCCATGAAATGTCCCTTCTCAAACTGAAGTAGTCTTTTCCTCTCTTATACTCTAATACATTTTTTTTTGAGACAGAGTCTCACTTTGTCGCCCAGGCTAGAGTGAGTGCCGTGGCGTCTGCCTAGCTCACAGCAACCTCAATCTCCTGGGCTCAAGCAATCCTGCTGCCTCAGCCTCCCAAGTAGCTGGGACTACAGGCATGCGCCACCATGCCCGGCTCATTTTTTCTATATGTATTAGTTGGCCTATTAATTTCTTTCTATTTATAGTAGAGACGGGTCTTGCTGTTGCTCAGGCTGGTTTCGAACTCCTGACCTCGAGCGATCCACCTGCCTCGGCCTCCCAGAGAGCTAGGATTACAGGCGTGAGCCACGGCGCGCCCGGCCTCTAATACATTTTTGCTTTTACTTCTTTAAGAATGTGTACTGTTTCACATCCTTCAGTTGTAAGGTTAAATGTTTTATTTCTCCTAGACTTCAAGCTCCCGAGGATAAATATGTGCTTATTTGTATGTAGCTTATTTGTATGTAGTGTTTTGCATGTATTAGTTGCTTAATATGTTGAGTTGAGTGAAATAGGATCCCTTCTGGGGAAGGAACTGAAAAGGATAGTCTGTACTCTTGGGCCTATCTACTGCAATAAAACCGGTAGGCAATAAAGGTGTAATGAGAGGCTGCCTTTGTAAATTAAAATGAGAGATTAGAAATGTAAGTATGGTCCAATTTTACCTCTGATAGAGTTTAATTAGGGCCAATTTTAGTTGGCAGCTGTCTTATTGTACTAAAAGTAAAGTTTAGACACCTGGATTTTACTGCTGGTCCTAAAACAACCTAAATGGGTGAAAAAGTGAGTGGCTGAAATAACTGAAAAGTTCATGTGAGTTAATGCATCACATATGCCCCAGATCATGCCATATTTTTATATCCAGTGCTCAATATAAATTCTCTTTTGTTCCTAATATAGAAAGATTCTTAACTGGAAAGTGAATTTGCCATACAATTCATGAAAATTTTATGTTTTGCTTTGCCAAGTTGGTAATGGAGTAGTTTAAACATGTTTTGGTTTTGAATTTGAAACTGAGGTTATCATATTTATTCTCAGTTTTAAGTGGTTGCTTAAGTTTTGGGTAGTAGAACTAATGCTATGCCATACAACTTCTGATAATCCATCACTTTTAGGATCTTTGTGTTTTAATCTGTTGCTGATTTTTAACAGTGTATTTCATGTGCAGCCATCAGACTTGGGTGTTTTAACTTGGTTGCGGTTGGATGTATTAAATGTAAAGCTGATTTTGCAACACGCTTTAGTGTAAAATGATCTTGGAGTGGGGAACTTCCTGGACTGGGTATATGTTTCAATTTTAATGGCTGTGGCTCATGGTGGGCTTGGTATTAAAGGCTCCTTCTGGTTGTGAGGAAAGGGGGTTGTCAGCAGCCAACAGTGGGGACATTTACTTCTTGTTGGGTTACTTCCTCCATAAGATATACACAGAGGAGTGGGATTCTACTTTCTTTATGTTATTTAAGGAGATAATTTGTTGGTAGTACAAATCATAAAATTTGTACAGTGATCTTGTGTTTATCAATATAAAGTGATGGCTTCATATATATATATACACTATCTGAACAGATTTTAATATTGCATGCATGATACTTTTAAAGTATGTATTAGGTTAGTTTGCTTTCTAGTTCTGTAAGTTTATCCAGAAAGAAGAGGAGTTTAAGTTAATGTATTTGTTAAATCCAAGTGATGCCCCCTATTTATTTATTTATTTCCAAACATCCTCAAATCATCTGTTTAATTATTCATTTCATTTTTATTGACCAATTGTCAGATTTACTAATCTGTAGTTTCTGTATTCTATTTTTTGCCTTTTCAAAATCAGGACTCTTCTGATGATGTCTTTGGCAATTCTCCTGTTATCTAAACTTTCTCAGAAATTATTTAATCATGGTTATTACTATTAAATTTTTTCAGAACTCTGAATTGTAATTATCTGGTGTTGAAACTTAAATGCCTTAGTAGATGATCAGCCCACCTTTTTTGATTTTTTAATCATATTATACCTGTCTGTCTTAGTAGACTCTGAACTCCCTGTGTTAAAATGTATTCTTTTCGTAATATTTTCAATTTAGGAAATAAAGTCTTTGCTTTCACTTTTTGGAGGTCAGTTCGCTAACAGTCAGGAAACATATGGAAAGGTAAGTTGAGTTTTCGTTAAATCATATGTAGTATACTTATAATAGAACCTTGGATTTTAAGAGAAGTGCTTATTTTAAATTCATATTTGTGTGCTTACTTGTATTTGTTTCTAGAGGCAATGGAGTAAAAAGGATATTTTGGAAAAAATTGTGGTTTTGGAAAATATTTCTAGTATTCATTTATTTTATTAATTTTTAATTGAACAATTGTACCATAATTTATATCTGTCCTTTCATTGATAAAATGACTGTCTTCTGTTGATGTATATTTAGAAATAGAATTTAGAATTTAGCTGAATTTTGGGCTTATATTGGAGACATTTTAAAATTTGATATTGTTCATTGTGTAAGATTGTGAATTTATGAGATTTATATTTTGTATTTGTAGTTTGTCAGTATATTAGAGAAATTTGAAAAATAGAAAATGAAAAATACCATTCACAATTCTTCCTCCTTGACATGTCTTATAATTTGTGGATACTGCCCTCTAGTCTATTTTTTCTTGTACTTTTTTCCTATTGTAGTGCTGCTTATCATAGATTTAAGAATACTTGATCTGACTTTAACTGAAATAAAAGTCGCTATAGTAAAAAATAGTAATAAATCAAATTAGTAAAAAATCAAATTAGGATAATATAGTACAATGTAAGAATACTTTTATAAATGACTCTATAAATGAAAATATCAGCAAATTAAATTTAAATTTAGGGTTAATTTTGTATTTTTCCTTTAGTGTAGTTTGACTAAAAAAACCCTAAATTTAAATTTAATTGTACGATATTATCCTAATCAAGTATTCTTACATGAAAATAGAAATTGTGATTTCTCCTTGTTCGTATCTTGAATAAAAGCATATGAAGCCTTGTAGCCACTTAGAATTAAGTTGTGTGTTGTTATTTCTTTCAGTCACCATTTTGGATTCTTAGCATTCCCTCTGAAGAAATTGCAAGAAACTTAATGAAACGGACAGTGTGTGCCAAGTAAGACAAACTTATGTTCTCCTGTGTGAGTGAACACGTACTTCTCATAACTACTCAGTCATACTTTTTCTCTATATTGGCAGAAAGAAGTGGAGTGGAGGGAGCTCAGTTTAGGTTGCAGTTACATACGCCTGCCACTAGGTGGCGGTGGGGGAACAGAGGAGACATCTGCTGAAACTGAGGGTGAGAGATCTCAGCGGGGGTGGGGGGGAAATGTAGAAACACTTGTTTTTAAATAATTTTTTTAAACTTCCATATTAGCAGCATTATAGTATGAGATGTAAATGGTATGTTCTTACATAGGATATATGCCACATTTAATTGTAACCAAGATATTGAAAATGCTTTTCTTATAGTTGGTTTTTATTTGGATGAGCATTTTGGTGAAGTGTAAGATGACAAAAAGTGGAGACTGGCATGAAATATATTTTACTGCTTTACTTGTTAGAGAAAGGAATTCTTACAATATCACATCTTGGTATGAATTAATGTAATGATGTTGATCATTTATCCTGAGTGTTTCTGGATTTTGTCATTGGTATGTGTTCTTTTTTTTTTTTCCTTTTCTTTCATTTCTTTTTTCTTTTTTCCATTATTGGAAAATTTTCTGTCATCAGATTTGAAAATTAAACTGCATTTTCAACTAGCATCTCAAAGATTGAACAGCTTGTGTTATCTTTGAGCTGCTTTTTTTCCTGAACATTTTGGCAGATTGCTGAAAACTTTCTTTTCCTTAGAAATTATATTTGATAATGCAATGCCAATAAAAATTTACATATATTTAGTTTTGTTAACATGGTTAGTAATACTTTGTATTGTGATATGTAATTGCTGTTTTATTAAATTGGATACAATCCCTTATTTAGTTAACTTCATCCTGTTAAGAACTACCTGGAGCTCTAAATCTAATCTCTTAAACTGAAGCTTGTTAATAAGTCTTATTATTCAATAAAAATTACTAGAAAACAGAAATATAACTAAAAAACGCCCTTTGAATAATTACTATTTCAGATTTACATATTAAAATTTATAGCTTTAAGAGGTGTCTGAATTCCAAAGGTATAGCTTATTAGGTTAAGATAGCTACTTGAGTATAAGAACTTGTACACTTCTTTCAAAGCTCTTATCTCCTGATGCCTATATTTGATTAAGGTATAATTAATAATTGTACAATACTTATATAATCATTTCTTAGGCTGCTTTTTATTCTCTGTATATTTTGTATAACTGAGGTATACCTTTAATGATAGCTAAGTAAGAGTACTATTACTGTAGAGACGTTCTCTCTATAAATTCAATGGATAGAAAAGGAGGAATTTGTTTTCAAATGATAAAATTCACAATCTAATTGTAACATCAGTTGTACTAGAAGGAAATAGACTTTTAGATTCAAAAGTAACTTAAATTCAACTTTTTCTATGGTAGTTTAGGGATTGAAAGTTCATTTTAATTATTTTTAACATGAAATATTTTGAGCATAACACAAAAAGTGAAAAATATAGCAAGCATCTAGGTACCTACCTTGTTAGATCTCAATATTTTGAGTAACTTAGTTATTAAATGTTATTAAATCATAGCTAAATACTAATTATTATAGTAACATTTTAGTCTGATCATTGTTCTTTTTGTTTTATGGAGAAGACACAGGGAAAATTTGGATTTTTTGCAACTTTCACCACTTTCGTTAAAATAACTAAGTGATTTTATGGCATCATTTGTTATAGTATAAAAATATGATGAAAACTTGGAAAACTGCTGACTTATATTGAATTTCCTCAACTTCTTTGTGTGCTGTGGATTTAAGATATATTTGTTTCAAGGATACAGATTTTTCATTTATAGCTTAGAAAACATAGACAATAATTCTTTTAGTGGATGGGCACAATGAACTAGTGAAATCACTATTATGTATCACTGTGTGAACTGAGTTCTTTCCTGAGGTTAGTACCAATCATTTATTTCCTAGGTCTATATTTGAGCTATGGGGTCATGGAAAATCTCCTGAAGAGCTGTACAGTTCTCTTAAAAGTTACCCTGTGGAGAAGATGGTACGTAGTGAAATGTAGTTTTATACTGGCATATGTGCAGATTCTGTAGAATTATTAAGCTTAAAAAACTAATTTGCTTCTCTTTTAGGTTCCATTTCTACATTCAGACTCTACATATAAAATAAAGATTCACACATTTAATAAAACATTGACCCAAGAAGAAAAAGTCAAACGAATAGATGTAAGTGAATTTAGCAAAAACAAAAACCTAGAAGATTAATGTCATCTAGCCATTGTTGATAATAAGAATATCTAATGTCTGTTAAGTGCTTATTTTGTACCACATTTTGTGCCAAGTGCTTTTCATGTTTTATCTTATTTAATGCTGACATTAAACTTACAAGTAGACATTGTTAGATGAGCACTATTTTTGTTTGTAAAGTTTTATGGGACATTAGAATTACTTTTATTTTTTAGGCCCTTGAGTTTCTGCCATTTGAAGGAAAAGTGAATTTAAAGAAGCCACAACATATATTCTCTGTTTTGGAGGATTATGGTTTGGACCCAAACCATATCCCTGAGAATCCACATAATATTTATTTTGGTAGATGGGTAAGCAAGTATTCTTTCTACTTATTTTAGTTTGTTTCTTTAAAAGCTAAATGTTAGGTCTTTGTTTTTGACTTTTTTTTTTTTTTTTTGAGACAGAGTCTCGCTTTGTTGCCCAGGCTAGAGTGAGTGCCGTGGCATCAGCCTAGCTCACAGCAACCTCAAACTCCTGGGCTCGAGTGATCCTTCTGCCTCAGCCTCCCGGGTAGCTGGTACTACAGGCATGCGCCACCATGCCCGGCTAATTTTTTTATATATATATCAGTTGGCCAATTAATTTCTTTCTATTTATAGTAGAGACGGGGTCTCGCTCTTGCTCAGGCTGGTTTTGAACTCCTGACCTTGAGCAATCCGCCCGCCTCGGCCTCCCAAGAGCTAGGATTACAGGCGTGAGCCACAGCGCCCGGCCTGTTTTTGACTTTTTATATGTAGAACTTTTAAGCAGCTAAAGAATCAGAACTACTATATGGATTAAAGTCAGTTAGAGTACGTGATTATCCCCCCCCCAGATTCCTATGAAGTACAAGAGCCTTGCTAGATTGTTAGATATAGGGCTGAGGGGGGTGTGATGTACCTGGAAATATTAAAACAAGACTTTTTCAGACATCTGGACTGCTTTTTTGATAAAGCAGAGAAAAGGCAAAATGCTGTGATCATTGAGGGGTCTCATTTGTGGAGATCTCCAACGTAGGGCTTCCATTCTGAGTATAAATAGAATTACCATAAAGCAGTTCTGTCCACTTTTCTAAGGCTGTGAGTGAATGGGAGCTGTGACTTATGTTAGAGATTATTGCTATTTAGGAGAAAAAAGAAATGGGCCAAGTTTACTAGTTACCAACCCCTGGAATAATTGCATTCAAATTCAATTCCTGTTTGGTTTGAAAACACAAAGTAAATGGAAAGACATTAAGAAATAAAAGGTTTTGTACATAATGACCACAAGCATATTATTTACAAGGAACGAATTTAGAGCAGTGGTAGTGGAAAGAAGTTCTTGTCAGCAAGATACTGAGGTTTTATTGTGAAGGATTATCTCAAATCTGTATGGTTATACTAACTGGAGAAATATCTCTGATCTAGATTGCAGATGGACAGAGAGAGCTTATTGAGTCATACAGTGTCAAAAAGAGACACTTTATTGGAAATACAAGCATGGATGCTGGCTTATCATTCATCATGGCTAACCACGGAAAAGTGAAAGCAAATGATATTGTCTTTGATCCATTTGTTGGAACAGGTATTTTTATTTAACTGTTAAGCTAGTATGGAGATGTTGCTTTTGTATTAGTGAAGCCCATAGCAATATTTTTGCTAAAAGATTAAACGTACAGAAAAATCTTTTAATTATCATTGGATAATGGCTAAGAGACAACCACATACTTGTGTAATAGCCAGTATTTAACACTTTTGCCACTGCAGTGATTATGCAGATAGAATTTTGTGGGTCTTATTCCAAGTAAACCACTAGGGGGGAGCATACATCTAGTTTTTTAAATAGCAGAACTTACAATATTATACACTGTAGAAATGTTGTAAAGCTGTATAGTTTATATAGATAGGAAAACCCTTGGTGGGGAAGAGAGATTGGAATGACAAGATCAAAAAAAAAATTGGTTCATCCTTTTAAGTTAATAACCATATTAACCAGATGGAAAAAATAGTTAATGTATTCTGTTTTTAATTTGGTTTGTGGAGGTTTATAAATAGGTATGAAAATAAGAAAAGTGATGAAATATTAATGGGATAGAGGCCACTGTGGCAATGAGCTGGGTTCTGTGTGCACTTGAATGGGATGTCCTTGTAATTAACTTTGTGTGGAAGTCCTAAAACGCCAAGTTTACTTCATCTGACTCTGAAGACTTTTTCCTCCGTCAGCTCATATTGCTTGGTCTTGCCCATACCATACCCAGGGAGTACTCACAGTAAGGTTTGTCTGGCTAACTCAGTGTGGCTCAGTTTATGGTTGGAGCTTCTCCCTATAGCCATCTTTCCCTTTGAACACTGATGATGCAAAGCTAACATTTGTTGAATAGTAAATGTGTCAGATACTGTGCTATACATTCTAATGTCACTATCTAATTTAACTAGGCCCGTAGTTTGAGGACCCCTGGCACAGAGAGAGGTAAAGTGACTTAGCCAAGATTATGCAGCATATATGTTTCATAGGATTCAGACTCAAGCGGTCCAGCTCCAGAGCTCATTCTCTTAACTACTGTCATGGAGCTGCCTCTCTCTGTTTTAGGATCTGCCAGCCAGCCATCAGACCATACAATAACTTGAGGAGGATGACCACATAGGATTAGGAAAAAGTAGTATCGAGGTTGAGATTTCTAGCTGATGGAATGATTTCTTATATTGGTTGTTGTTGAATTAATTCATTTGTGAGTCATTCTTCTCCCACTCTACTAGTGTCTCCGTACAGTCCATCCCCAACATACTATCTTTTCTTTCCCATCCTTATTATCCTGAGTGTCTCCTCCCACATTTTAAACTTTCTATTGGAAATAATACTAAGCTTATAGAAAAGTTACAGGAATAAAAATAGAACAAAGAACATCCATGTGTCTTTAACCCAGCTTAAGCTATTATTAACATTTGGCCTAATTTGCCATATCATTTGTTCTATTTGTGTTTATATACGTAATATTTTCTTTGCTGTTTCATTTGAGAGTTGTATTCATCATATCCCTTTACCTCTCAAATACTTGTTTCTTAAGATATATTTTCTTATATAACCACAGTGTAGTTTTTAATGTTAGTAAATGTAGTATTAATATACTACTTTAATATTCATATTCATATTCCAGTTTTGTCAGTTGACCCCATGATGTCATTGATAGCATCTTTTTCCCTTTCTGGTATAGGATCAGGTATTATATTTTATTGTCAGTGTTTCTTTGATTTCTTCCATTTGCAACACAGGCAAAGATTTCTTTTTAAAATTAAATTTGTACTTTTGAAGAATGCTATCTCTCCTCCCTTTATTTTTTACCTAGAATGTTTCTTATTTTGGCTTGTTTGATGTTTCCTCATAATTTGATATAGGTTGAACATTCATAGCTGGACAAAATCAGTGATTTTGTATCCTTGTCATAGTATACACATGATAGCTCTCTACCCCTCACTGGTAATGTTAATTTTGATCAGCTAGCCAAGATAATATTTGATTTTTCCACTGTATGATTATTGTTTTTTTTTCCTTGCCATTATTAAGCAGTTGTGGGAGACACATTAAGACTATGTTAATATTTTGTTCCTTATCCAAATCTCCCCTCACCTCTGTCAAGTTGTCCGTTGATGATTCTTGTCTGAACCAGTCTTTACTTTGATAGTTTCAAAGGGATAATTTTCCAACTCTAGCACTGAGTCTATAGTTACCAGTCAATACTCATTATTCTGTTGTAAGCAAGAGCCCTTTCTTCTCTTCCACATATTTATTAATCTATTTATTGTTAATATAAACTAGTAGTTCCTGCTTTTTCTCCCTGGTGGTCTATAATTCATTATGTTCCTTAATTATTTGGTTGCTCAAATTGTCCCAGATTTGCCCAATGAGAGCCTTTTTACATTGAATCTGTATTTTGTTTGTTTTGAGCACTTCCTTTCTGACTTCTTTTCTACCTGTTCGAACTATGGCATCAGTCATTTTTCCAAGAAACCCTTCTTTCTTTTAGTAGGGAGATGGTATTAGAGACCAAGATCTGGGTTCTAGACCCTTTCAGTGGACAAGCCAGGAAACATATGTATGTGTGTATATACAAAATGTGTATAAGTGCATATGCAAGTACACATGCATGTATTCCCACATACTGTATGTATATGTGCACATATAAGTGCAGATAAATATTTTAGAAATTGTGAATTTGCACATATACTACAAATTACAGTCTAACTTTATGAATTTCTTTTTGCTTACCCCATACCATATTATATACATCGTCTTCCACAGTAAGGACCCTTGTTCCTATCAGTGTCAACACATTGATACTTTTGCTCATTCCTGTAATATTTCTAAAATAGTTTCAAATTGCTTTGCTCATGCTATTTCAAAGAAATCCCGTTAAGAAGAGTTTAGGATGTATTTTCAGTTCCCTAAGGGGAAATAAAGTCAAATACTTTTCCTGCTTCTTTTTCCCCTTCCTTTAAAATTCTGTTGAGTTTATTTGTTCCAGTTTTCCCTCAGTTTTAGTTTGTTGTTGTTGTTTTTCAAGACAAAGCCTTGCTCTGTTTACCCGGGCTAGAGTGCAGTGGTGTCATCATAGTCTACTTGCAACTTCATACTCCTGAGCTCAGGTGATCCTCCTGCCTCAGCCTCCCAAGTAGCTGGGACTATAGGCACATGCCACCACGCCTGGCTAATTTTTCTAGTTTTTTGTAGAGATGGTATCTTGCTTTGCTCAGGCTGGTCTTGAGCTCCTGGCCTCAAGTAATCCTCCTGCCTTGGCCTCCCAAGGTATTACAAACGTGAGCCACTGCACCCGGCTGAGATTACTTTCCTATTTGATGTGAAGAATGGATCTAACTTATCTTTTTCTAAATGCTAAAGCCTTTATTAATCCTTACTCATGTTCTTAGACTTTAAAAACTTTTTCTGTGAAGTGAGAAGAATACATAAATGTACAAAATGATTAATATGTACATACATGCACAGACCAGGCCATAGAGTTTAAAAATAGAGTTGCCAGTACAGGTAACATTTTTTTCTATTGATGTGGATAAGGCTGAGTATATATGAAATTCTAACTTCACAGAAGTCAGTGTGAATCCTTAGTGGTGAGGGGCAAGGAGACCTGCTTCTATTTGTTTCAGGACAGCTCCTCACAGTGGTTGCATATTTTGATCATCTGACTGTTCACATATGAGAGGAGGATCTTTGCAAAGATCCTCCAGATGCTGCTAAAATACATTTTCATAACTTGTGTTTGTAGATTAAGCATAGCTTTAGGACATTAATCAGTTTTTGATACTTTTGTTTTAAAACTGGTGATAACCAATAATTGTGAATAGACATTGTCTTAAGCACAGTTTATCCTCTCTCTTGGGCCTTTTGCCTCATTGATGGGTAGTACCTTCTGAAGGATTGGAGAATTACATAGCCCTTTGCCCTCCTCCATGGCCATAGTTTTTCACAAAGCATTTAATATTTTTTCTTTCAGTTTCCCTTTTGTATTTTTTTTTAATTCAGGTGTAACTAATCCTTTTTCTATTTTCAAGATACAAAACTGAAGTGTATGTAGTTTCCCAAATATATTACTCACTGACTACTCATGTCTTGTGAGTAGGGTAGAAAGGTTCTGGGAAATTGAAGGAGAGATATAATCTTTTCCTGCCTAAATTCCTTTCCTTTTTCTTGTAGATGGTTTGTTATCTAAGTTGTTTGGAATGACATGAGCTGCAGAAACATACTTTCATTTCTATTTTAGCAAATACACTGATTTTCATTTTAGTAAGATTTTTTTAAAGTTGTGTATTTCCACTTTCCATTCGATCAGCTCTCAGTACTTAGAAATTACTACTGTTTACATATGAGTTTGGCTAAAGGAATGATCAACATGAATTTATTGAATACTTATAATGGCACAGCCTTGCTTGTGATTTGGTATAAGACTTATGAATGGTATACAACTGTCATTTACTGAGTGCACAGGTTTACTTACTTCATATAATTTGTTTAGTAACAAAACTTCCATTTGGTTATCTATTTGGTAAGTTAACTTATATTTACTTCTATTGGTGCTGACTTCAAAGGAGTTAGTATGGTATAAAGGCAAGAACAAATAGAGTGAATTAAATCTTTACAAATTATTATATGAATTTTGGCAAGATTCTTGTCTGGGTCTCAATTCCATTATTTGTAAAATGGTGATAGTAATATATTGAGAAAATTAAGTGAGGTAATATATGTATATAATATTCCTAGGAAGTTGTCTGACACATGGTGGACATTCAGTGAACTCTAATGGTTATCATTATTATTTTTTAATTATTGATAAAAACTTAGATGCCTTTTTGGTGAAAGTTGTTAGATATAGCTAATATTAAATGGTGATGTTGAAGAATTTGACCATGAATTTATTTTCTAGTCCCTTTTTTGGCTGATTTCCAAGATATTTGTAATTTACAACTATTGGCAAATAATAGCAGCAGGCAGGAAAATTGAAACTTAATATTGTACAAGTCAATTTTTTTGTTCATAGTTAAAATAATTGGTACAAGTGTATGCTGTTGCCTTAGATAATTTAGAGCTCTGCAACCATAGCTCATTGATTCCTTCTCATGCCCTCAAGTGAGTCAGCTCCTCTAGTAATGAGAATGCACCCAGGAGACTAATGTATATTCCTTGGCATTGTCTACCTTCAGGTGACCCATAGGTGAAAGGAAAGGAGTGTAGCTCCTTTGGAGATTTTTGTCATTGCACAATAGTAGACACAGGAGTCAGGAGTTGGGAAGCTGACTGTCCCGTTTCTGGTGGGAGACCTAGGGGAGGAAAAGAGAAAGCTGGGCGAGTGAGATAATGGATCTCTGTAGGTTTGTGTAATATCCTTCCCATTTTTTCTAGTACTCTTTGTAGTCCCCTCTTCCTGGGTCTCAGAGTTTGTCTAGCAGGATCTCTATTTTTAGCAGTGTTCTTTTGCTCAGGCTACTAGTTTATTTTATTTAAGTAGAATTTTTTTTTAAAAAGAATAAAATAGATGCAATAATATTACCATTTTTCTTTATTTTTCTCCCTTTCTCTCAGCAAAACCAAAGCCCAGTCTCTCATTTCCCCACCTTTGCAAAGCTTTCCACTTAGCTCTCTAAAGATAAAAATCATGAGTTTCCATATCATAGAATAAATTCTACTTATTTATTGTATCCTTTTGCCTATAAGATATTACCCTAGCCTTAAAGTGGTTACTATTTAAGTGATGAGAATTTGAAACACCGAGTTACTGGTCTAGATCCCATATGCTGCATTTTTACTTTTGATGGCATAAAATGAAATGAATGAGTCATGTTACCTGCCTTGACACTTTGCCCTCCTTTCGTAGCACCCTTTTTCAACCAAAAAGCTTCCAAGAAAACTCAAGCTGAGGTATAACTAAATGCTAAAAGTGCATCAGTTTAATCAAAAGAACAACTAGATGACTAACAGTGATTACCCAGTGACCAGTTCAGACAAGCTAATTTATTATGATTTTATTTTTAAAAATTAAAAGCTTAAAAGGCACAAAGTTGACTATCAGATGCAGTCTAACAGATTATTCATCTCCTTTCAGCAGTGTACTGTAAATTGGGTCTTCTCAAAACTCACTCTAACCAAATGGATAAGGTTCTGTTTAAGGAAGCACAGGAAAGCTTTTCTGTTCCCCTTGACAACTAGTTCTTCTAGGTGAGTATCTGCCTTAATTGGCAGAATTGTAGTAATTCCTCATAATTTGGGTGAAGTGACTTTGTGACTATTTCAAGTCATCACATACACTGCCTTTCCTAAATATGGGCTGTTACATTTCCAAAGCAAGAGTTATGAGGACTTTTTTTTTTTTTAAACTTCCCTCTCACATAAATGCTTTTTGTAGTTATGAGAGATCCTAGGTTTTGGTTTCTGCTGTACTGTTAGTCTTCCATTTCTCTTCTTCATGGGCTCCCATAGGAACTAGTCAGTTATAATATATTCATGAGCAAAATATTTTTAAGTACATGTTACCAGACTATATTTTAAATGGCTATGGAAGGAACACCATTAATTTATAGACCTTGACCCTCTGGAGGCACTACCCATCTTAATTTTAAAGATTACATTTCAAAAGGATGTAGGGAAAGAGCCTTAGTTTTTTTTTCCTTGTCCAAGTCTGTGCATATTTTATAGTCTAAGAATATATTTATTATTTCAACTTGACTGGCAGACCTTTCTACAGTGTAGCTAATTAGGACTTGCCCAAGCACTAAAAGCCTTTTAATTTGAATGATTAAACAAAGTGAAGTTTAATGAAAAGTACAATTATTAAAACTTTATTTAACTTTGTAAAATTTTTTTCCTAAACAATTTAAAAATACGATTACCTTTTATTTTAAAGAGTTTAATTGTTATTTTAATCTTTATTAGGGTTTTCCTTCATGTGTGAGCTGGTCACATCTGTCAAATTACTTTGTCAAATTTTATTGGGATAATTGTTTTTACTTTGGTCACAGCACTAATTGAGCAACAATAATTGTACTCATTATTTTTGTGTATGGTTGTTATTCAGAAATTTATATTTACAGTTTAAAATAGGAGATACTTGATTAGTTATAGGAGTAACTAGTATAAAAGTTAACACTTAGAAAAGTTAAAATATGTCCTAATATTTTAACTTCTGTAAGAGCTAATGTCTGACATATTAATTATGCCCTCTTTAGTTACATGAAACTCTGTGATTGTGGGAATGGGGTGAAATTGTCAGAATTTATTGCCAGCTCTTTGTGTAAGCAGCGTTATGTGCTCATTTTTAAGAAAGAGGCAAGATACTTTTGTACAGACATCTCAAAATAAGAAGAAAATGTCTAAATATACATTATTTTGACTAAAAAAAAATATAATTTTCCCTAACTAGTGCTGTTTAAAGTAATGTTGCCAGGGCATAAATTAATTCCCTATCCTGCAACCAATTTAATGAATACAGGTTAGGGGATATGTTTTTTCAGTTTTGAGGCTTGCTAAATATGGCCAGGATCAGTGTCATTCCAGGGTACTCTGCCTGCAGCTAGCTTGTAAAACTGGATCAAATTAATTACAGGAAGAAACTGAAGTCTGGGACTTTCTGGTTAACATGTCATAATTGTGTGATTTTTCAGGTGGCCTCCTGATAGCTTCTGCTCATTTTGGTGCATATGTATATGGGACAGACATAGACTACAACACAGTTCACGGTTTAGGTGAGTAGAGGTTATAGACAGTGTTATAGTGTTTGGTGTCATGCCAATTCCTTTAAAATAATAAAATACATACTGTGGAGATTGAGGCAGGAGGATTGTTTGAGCCCAGAGTTGGAGTCCAGCCTGGGCAACATAGGGAGACACTGTCTCTGGACAAAAAAAGGCGGGGGGAAGGGAGATAAAATAATAAAACATAGTTGACTCTTGAACAACAAGGCCCTCTTATATTTGGATTTTCTTTCACCTCTGCTACCCCTAAAGCAGCAAGACCAACCCTCCTCTTTCTTCTCTTCCTCAGCCTACTCAATGTGAAGATGACGATGAAGACCTTTATGATAATCCACTTCTACTTAATGAATAGTGAATATATTTTTAGTACCTATAGTAAATATAACAATAAGCTATTAGTAGTAAAGTTTTTGGGGAATCACAAGTTCTATGTAGGTTTTTGACTGCACAGCAAGTCAGCACCCCTAACTACTGCATGTCCCAGGGTCAACTGTAGTTTTATATGGTATTATTTTAATGTTAAAATACATAATTGGAATGTAATTTTACTTATTTTTATAAAACTTCATTGAGTATCTACTTTTATGAAATAATCCACTATGAGCAAAATGATTTCTTGAAGGAACACAAAAATGAATAAGAAAAGGCCCTCCCCTCAAGAGGTGTTTGTAGACTTAGTAGGGAGGTAAACAAAACAAAACAAAACAAAAAAAGTAGGCAGACTATATCTTTGGGAACATAAGAGTTGGGAGAGAAGAAGTAATTATACATTCAGTGTATATTGGATTAACCAGTCTTTGAGGTACCATATATGTTTTTAATTTCATACCTGACCAAAACATCTTTGAAACACTTAAAGGTGACAGTAACTTTAAAGATTTTGCCTTAGACTGAGGGTACTTGAGACAAGCATCTGCTTTGCTTTTGAGGTAATTTTGGAAAATATTTTAAATTCTTAAAAGCGTCAATAATGATGTGTAATTGGATGGAATTGAATCAAACTGAAGAAGTATTTTCTTATAGCTTAATGGTATTAAAAATGTCAAGTTTTTATTGATGGTTTTGAGATTATTTGTGTTTATGGTGGTATTCCATTATAGTAACTTGTAACTTGAATCAGCCCTTAAAACATTCTTTTCCTTTTCCTCACCCAGTATCTTATATGGGTGTGAATTTATTATATTAGTAGTTTATTTTGTTTTGCTGAAGCAATTTGATATATTGTATTGATGACCTTTTTCTCCACCTCGACTATAAAGAATTTAGTAATATTTCTTAGGAAGAAAATTAGTTATAATTTATCAGGTTTACATAAATGCGCTAACCAGAAAAGGATATTCTTTATCTGCAATATGTTAGAGTAGACAAAATGCTAAGAAGAATTATTTCTGTTTGCTTTTAGAAGTAGTATATTTGCTTTAAAGAAATTGACTTGTATAATTTACTTGAATTTTTATTTATTAAAGTTATGTTTAAAAAGTTATAACCTTCAGGCTACTTGGGTAGAATTCTGATTGAGGTAGAGTCTCTTCAGAGCTTATTCAAGATGCTGTTAGGTATGCTTTCTGTTTCCTATACTTTTTTTTTTCTGGAGATAGAGTTACCTCAGCATCATCATAGCTCACTGCATGCAACCTCCAACTCCTGGGCTTACGTGATCCTCCTGCCTCAGCCTCCTGAGTAAAGATGGGGTCTCACTCTTGCTCAGGCTGGTCTCAAACTCCTGAGCTTAAGTGATCCTCCTGCCTCAGCCTTGCAGAGTGCTAGGATCATAAGCATGAGCCACCACACCTGGCCTGTTTCCTATACTTCTAATCTCTTACTGTATTCTAAAATAGTCACAAGTTCCTCTGGTTTTAAAAGTATAAAACTTTTTCTATCAATCCTATAGGGTCCTCTAGCTATCACTTTGTTTTTCTGTTTCTTTTGCCAAAATGCTTCTTAAAAAACTAGTATTAATTTGCTATTTCCTCTTCATCTCTCACTCTCTCCTCATTATTTTCCAGCTTCTGTGCCTACTGTTCTGCTGAAACCACTTGCTAAGTCCACAGATATACAGCATTTGGCAATGTTGACCTTCAAAAAACCTCCCTTGATTTCCTAGACAGTGGTCTCATTGGATGGTACTTTTATTTCTTTGACTGTTTCATCTTAGTCTCATAAAGACCCTGCAACTTTCTGGATCTCTGTTTACTTATTGTTTTTTCCAAGCACTATCTTTGACCCCTTCTCCTACCGCAGTGCTTGTTGTTCAGAGTCATCTCATTCTTCTTTTGATTTATTCTTGTGAAGCTGATCATAGTATAGAAGAGTATATAATATATAAGGATAATTATAAAGCAAACACATATGTAACTACCACCTAGGTTAACAAAAACTGCCATTCATTCTTATGGATTCAACTTAAGTTTATATATTGATATCTCCCAAGTGTATATCTTCTAGCCTTCAACTACCTGCTGGGTGTCTCTTTCTGAATGTTCTGCAGGTATCTCAAGGTATATCAAGATTGATATATCACAAATAAATCTCATCTTTTTTCCTGTGCTTGTTTTTTCTCCTGGTTTTCTGATTTTAATCACTGGTATTATCACCCTAAACTGTCATGTCTTCTAAAACTACAAACTTTTGAACTTTTTTAGCCTTCCCTCAGCCCCCACTTTAACTTTTCTTCATCAATAATGTCTCCATTTTGCCTCCTTTCTTCCTGGTCATAGCCACTGCATTTCTCAAGTTAGTTGTCTTCATTTCTATTTTAGTTATCTGATTCATCACTATCTCTATGCAGGACTGTTTCCTGCATAGAGAAAAGGGGCAAGGTTCTATTCAACTCTGTATCTTACTACTAATTGCTTCGTACTTAGTATAAGTACGAGTTTTGTAAGGCAGTTTTACTTAAAAGGTGACAGAACAAGATCGGTTAGACATCAGTATTTTCTCTGTTCAAAATATATTTACATAATAGGTTGAAATAAAAATAATTATTTACTTGTGTATATAAATTAAGATTTTAAATGAAAGTAAATTTTGAGTAAATGTAGGTTTAGATGAGTTAAAACATTACTTTTAGCTAACAACAGGAAGTATGAATGCTCTGTTTGATCTCATGTTTTCTATCTTCCTTTTTCTTTCCTTTCAGGAAAGGCCAGTAGGAAGAACCAGAAATGGAGAGGACCAGATGAAAATATTAGGGCAAATCTTCGTCAGTATGGTTTAGAGAAGTACTACCTTGATGTCCTGGTTTCAGATGCATCTAAACCTTCCTGGAGGAAGGGTACATATTTTGATGCAATTATCACTGATCGTAAGTTTATTTTTATACCAAAGTAGAAGTCGGATTAGTAGGATTGGTTTCCTAAAGTCATTTCTATTTCAAGTACAAAATTTGTCAACATATACACACAGTGCCAACTTGTGTTGGTTTTCCTCCCATCCTCAACTTCTTCATATACTGAGAAGGAGAAAATTATGAATGTAGGGTAGATTACCAACTTAACTAAATCATTAATGGTTTATTTTTTTTTTAAGCAAATATATTGACTTGCCATCTATTTTTATATCTTTAGAACTTGTCATCTGTTTTCCCCTTCAACTTATTTTTTGAGGCATATATTTGTTTTCATAATGACTGTAATTGGTTATTAGTATACCAATTGGAGCTAAAATGTCATTTGCAGTTTGTTATTAAATTTTGAAGAAAAGAGTTTCAGATATCACACATTTCTCTTTGTGTAAGCATTTGTGTTTTTGTAGTGCCTGTTTTCCCTGGCGTCTCCTTTCTAGAGTTACAAGAAATTTGGTCTTCTGTGAACCACTGGGCTTGTGAACCCACTGAGTTTTAGGAATGTGCATGAGAACTTGTTTTCCCATGCCTCATGAAGTCTTGGGCTTTTTAGGCAGCCTGTCTAAGAATAGATCTGCCTTTTCTATAGTATTTGACAATAAATCTATAAATAGTGGCAAAGTTGAGCCCTTCTGCCTCAGCCCTCTTTAGTTCTTTGGTAACTTAAATGGTTTCAAATCACAAAAGAAAAATAAGGCATTACAGTGTCAGTGTGAATATACTTTATAAAAATTGGGTGATTTTTAAAAATTAACAGTTTGCTTTACTATTTGCTCTCCCACTCTGTATCTTTATTTCTATAAAATAAGGAATTTTTTCTTCTGATCAGCTTGAGAGTAAGTGGCATTCATTGTGGCCTTTTACCCTTACACTTCAGTGTGTATTTCCTAAGAATACAGAAGTTCTTAGGAATTTCTTAGAAAGCCAAGGTACAGTTTCTTTCAGTAAACACATATAATACTTTAGTCTATAGTTTGTCACCCAGTTTTATCAGTTAACTCAGTAAAATCTTTTATAGCGTATATTTTCTCTCTGGTACAGGATCCACTCTAGAGTCAGTTGCTGCATTTAGCAATGATATCTTTTAGGCTTCCTTTGATTTGTAACATTTCCATAGCCTTCTTCATGTCTTTTATGACATTGACTTTTTTTTTTTAATTCAGGATATTATGGGAGTACAAACATGACTTTGACATTTTTAAAGACACTTGCCCCTTGCCCAACTCTTTATGTTGTGTATCTTGCCCAACTCTTTATGTTGTGTGTTCTCAGTTGGAATAATGCATAGGTGATGTTGTATTCTCAGGATGTCACATCTGAAGGCACATGATATATGTCTGCCCTTCACTGCTGATTTGGTGACTGTTTGTGTTACCTGTGTTTTCTGTCTAGCTCCATATGGTATCAGAGAATCTACAAGAAGAACAGGTTCACAGAAGGAAATACCAAAGGGAATAGAAAAATGGTAAGCGAAATTTAAATATGGTACACTAGAACTTTGAGAAGCATGTTGCTTCTTTAGTTAACTTAAGCAATCTTAAAATTTTTCACTGATTTTGAAATTCTGTTTTCTTTGTGTAGTCCAGAAAGCCACGTTCCTGTTTCCTTGAGTTATCATCTGAGTGATATGTATTTCGACCTGTTAAACTTTGCAGCTGAGACCCTGGTATTAGGTGGAAGACTAGTCTATTGGTTACCTGTGTATACACCAGAGTATGTAATCTTAATTTTATTTTTAATTTTATTTTTCTTACAATGTTTACGTTTCTAGCATAATTTTTGTTTATCTCTAATTGTGTTCAGCATATCATTGTATTTAATGTGTGATAGTTTTTGTTTACCTTCATATGTGTATAAAATCGTCTCCTTCCTCTTATTGACTGAATTGTTTTGACTGTTTTATTTTCTGTCAGGATTTGGCAAACTACAACACGTGGCCCAGATATGGTCCTCAGCCTGTTTTCATAAGATGCTTGAGCTAAGACTGGTTTTTAAAGTGTTATTAAAAACCACACAAACATACACATAAAAGAATATGTGACAAAAACACACAGTATATGGCACCCCAAAAATCTACAATATTTACTCTCTGCCCCTTTACAGGAAAAGTTTGCCAACCCCTATTGTATACCAGACTTAGCTCAGTGCCTGTTTATCACAGCTGCTCAATAGCTATTTTGCCAGTCTACAAACAAAACAACTTAGCTGACAACACCACGGCAGTCACTCTAGCCAGGGCAACAGAGTGAGACTCTGTCTCAAAAAAAAAAAAAAAAGTTATGCATATATTTAAAGCCCTGATTATATTCAATGTTACTGGCTTTTTTTTGAGACAGAGTCTCACTTTGTTGCCCTGGCTAGAGTGAGTGCCATGGCATCAGCCTAGCTCACAGCAACCTCAAACTCCTAGGCTTAAGCGATCCTGCTGCCTCATCCTCCTGAGTAGCTGGGACTACAGGCATGCGCCACCATGCCCAGCTAATTTTTTCTATATATATTAGTTTAGCCAATTAATTTCTTTTTATTTATAGTAGAGACGGTCTTGCTCTTGCTCAGGCTGGTTTCGAACTCCTGACCTTGAGTAATCCTCCTGCCTCGGCCTCCCAGAGTGCTAGGATTATAGGCGTGAGCCACCACACCTGGCCTCTGGGTTGGGTTTTATTATTTAATAACTGTTAAGTATAAGTATAGCTATATACATCAATAGTGAAAGACAAAATATTTGAACAAGTTGAGTTTTTAGATTTAAAAGATGGTATCAAGCTCAAAATTTGGTTATTTCTTCAATCTGCCATAGAAATATGTTTTATAAAATTATTTAAATTCCTATATTTACTATATATAATTGTACAAAAAGCATTATACAAAAAACAGTGATAACTTGTTTGTTTTTCACAATGGTGGATGGTTCCTTAGCAGTTGGAACTTGTGTTGGTTTTTGTTGTTTATTTTACAAATGTTGTATTAGAAGTTATCATGGCCTAACTTTAGTCATGTATTTATCAACTGATAAGATAATACATACTGATTCCTAAATCCCTTAATACTGGGTTTATGTTTTGTTGCCAGTGATGATCTCATTTAACCTCTTCATTTTATAATGGGGACAATTAATTTCAAGGAATAAAATGACCGATCTAAAATTAAAAGCTAGCTAGCTAATTGGTTTCCTTATTCCCAGTGCTATGCTCACTTAATTCAACATCCTACCAGATCTCATATACCTGGTATGTGAAACAATAGGTGGGGTTTTATTAACCCTTTTAGAGAAGAGCATATTTGTTCATTTCTATGCAAAAATGGTTCCTGCCTTAGATAAACTGAATTTCAGCAGCAAGCTACTTACTTTTTGCTTTAATTAAAGTTGCAGGGCTAAAAATTTAAAAAATTTATTGTGGAATAATTTCAAACTTACAGAAAAATTTCACATATGGTATAAAATCTCCCATTTCTATGCTCATCCAGATATTCCAAATATGAATATTTATATATGCTCCTATCCTCCCACCCCCTGCACATATCCATTATCATTAATCTTTTTGAAACCATTTGAGAAGCTGCAGGTATGATACCTTGTTACCCCTATATACTCTACTGTATTTCTCAGAAACAAAAACAGTCCTGTCTAGCCACTATCAACTCTCTAAGTCTGGAAATCAGCACTGGTGACAATATTGGCATCCCATTCAAATGGACCCCATTCAAATCTTACCAGTTGCAATCCATCCAGGAAAATGTGCTGCATTCATCTATCTTATCTTTTGGTCTCCTCTAGTCTGGAATGTTCTTCAGTCTTTCCTTATCTTTTGTGTCCGCAACAGTTTTATAGAGTATGTAGCTTATATTCTGAGGGTTGACCCTCAGCCAGGGTCCAGCTGGTATTTCCCCTATGACCAGAATAAGATAATGCTTTTATGGTAAGAATACTGCAAAAATGATCTTCGTGCAGTACATCATGGGGCACTCAAAGTGAACTCTGCTGGTGATGTTAACCTTGATCATCTGGTCATGTTGTTCTCTATAAGGTTTTTCCACACCGAATCCTTATTTTCCTCTTGGATTTGTATTTTGTGGGGAAATATTCTAAGATTATGCTGATATTGTGTTTTTCATCAAACCACTACTCACATTGATGACGCCATTGTTGATAACTGCTGCTATAGTGGTTGCCAAATGGTGAATTTTCTGTTCCATCATTCCTTCTGTGTTTGTAAGTTGGTATTCTGTAAGGAGAAGCTTTCCTTTCTCCCCCATTTTATTTATTCATTTATGTATTTATAGTGGTATAGAGTCATGGATTCTTTTATTATTCATTGGGCTGTAATTTATTACTGTCATTATTTATTTTGTTGTTAAAATTGCCCCAGATTTGACTAGTGGGAATCTTTTTGAGCTGGCTCCTCTGTCCTTTTGAAATATCCTCATTAGTTGTTGTGTACTACCTTACCTTCTAACATATCTGACTGTTCACTACTTTGTAGTTTATTGTTTAATTACAACTGAAATTATATGCAGTTAAGAATTACTTTTGGAGTTCTATTATGATTCCTTTTTAAAAAGTAAAATTATAGGTACTTTAAATATATTTCTAAAGACTTTAAAAGTAGCCACTGGATATTTCTTCAGCAACTTCTGTGTTTTACTAATTTTGGATAAGGAGAAAGTTCCAAATATATATAACAAAAGGGATGTTTTAGAAGTAGAAAAAGTACACATGTTTTATTAATTCTTTTTTTTGCCTTAGATGTTTTCTTGAGGAATAGATTTCTTACAGGTATGTGGCTAACACACACGGGAAGACTACTGTGGCATTTATGTCCCTCACCTGTTTATCCTTGGAGAGAGTTATTTTCAGGTCCTCTGATGTTCATTACTAGACCCCGGTTGTATCTTCTTCTCTCCTTAAGCCTAGTGATCTTCTTAATGAATTACTAATTCTTATCAATTGTTAACTTATTAATGAACTTAGTCTGTCTTGAATTTATGCTAGAAAAATGAACTATTCTCACTTTTGCAGTATATATTATTCAAAGTCTTTACTCTTTTTAAAATAACACCGTACTAAGAAGAATTTAAGACTAAAGTCACCTGTAAAAATTTGAAATAATGTTCTTGCTTCTGAGTTAAACAGTTTAGAATTATGTTTTATTGAAAATGTAGCTTTTTATTGGACCAGGAATAAAAAAGGAATTTAATGTAAAATTGTGCCTTAGAACAGTGTAATTTTAAGACTTTTGTGTTTTACTGAATTTTACTTAGTCAGCCAAAGCTTATTGTGTGATTCAAGTTTAAACATAAGAATTACACATTATAACCAAGTTCAGGTATTATTTAAACTCAGGACTGATTGAAAAGTTTAAGATATAATAAAAACAAAATACTGCCTAAAGCTTAGTGATATGTGAAAAATTGTTAGCGCTGTTGATTGAAAAAGGACTTTCTCACTGATAATTTAAATTTCAGTGAAGAAACTGCTACTCACAAACTTCTGCTGTTTTTCTTCTAGTCTAGACTGTTTCCACTCTAGTATATCACGTTTTTTGTCAGGGTCAAGATACTCTGTATACTTTATCTTTTCACCTTTATTTATTCTTCCCCCATTGCTTGAGATGCTCATTCTTCTTTCCTCTTGCCTCTGACCAAATTGTAGTCATCTTTCAAGGTCTGGCTTAATTCTCACCACTTCTGTGACACTTTCTCAGACCCTTCTCAGCAGAATTAATCAGTTCTTCCTCTGTGCTTTCATAGTAGTTTGTTCTTACCACTCATAGAGACTTACCACATGCAATTACTGTAGACTATTGGCATTTGTGGGTTTACTATTCACAATTTTGACTCCTTGCAAATGACCCTGAAGATCTGTGTTATATTCATGTGGACAGGGCATAAATCCAACACATGTATGTTTGATGTCATAGAAGTTGCTAAGCTACTGAGTAAATGTAACTGTTTGACCAGGTTCCAGATGTCCATATAGGCTTGTTATCTAATTTCATTACACACACACAGATAACTCTTGAAGTACTTAGAAACTGCGTTTCTTTGTGAAAGATGACCTTTAATAGAAATCCAATTGCTAGTGTTCATAATAAAGGTGATGACTTACCTATATCAAAACATCGCATTATACCCCATAAATATATATAATTTGTCAATTAAAATTTTTTTAAAAGATGACAAAGAAACCTAATAATGTGACCCAAAGTAGGATTTGGGGATAAATTTTAATTGTAGTAAAATTAACTTGGTGGTGGCTCAGATCAGTAAAGAGAACATGTTTTCCATCTTTTATCTAAGAAACAGGAAAAGGTGATTCCTTAAGCTGTTCACAGTAAGTGTTCAAATCGATGCAAAATCTGTTTCTTGTAAGGAAGATGAAATTCTAGTGACATTTGGAAATTCTAGTGACATTTCATGCTTGAGGCGTGAAGATACACAGAAAAATGAGTGACTTTAAAAATTGATTCATGAAAAACCTAGGGGCCTATATACACAACTGTTTTTGCTTTTTTTGAAAAAATTGAGAGATGATTGGTATACCTTGAAATTCAAATTCACTCTTAAATTATACAACTCTGAGGTTTTTAGTATAGCCACAAAGTTGTGCAACCATCACCACTATCTCATTCAGAATGTTTTCATCATCCCCTAATAGTACCTCATACTGATTAGCAATCACTACCTTCTTTCCTATCTCTGTGGATTTGCCTATTCTGGCTCATTTAGTTTTTTAATAGATAACTTGGATTGTAGAGTGATAGTAATGAAAACAGGAAATTATGATAGGATTCTATATTACCATTATAGTTCAGGCAAAATACAGATTTATATCTTCTACTTAACAGTTTGCAGACAGTCCACTGGTATGAAATACATCAGTATATATACAGTGAATAATTTTTTTAACTGCTATTTTTTTTAATATGGTATTTTGGGAGAATACTGTTAAATTGATTGGCTTGCTAATATAATAGATTAGTGTTAAAAATAAGTTTGTTAATGATAATGATTACTGATATGATATTCCTTTATGCTTAAAATTAAAGATTGAGTTGAAAAGATAATATAAAACATGTAAATATATTTTTCTGCTGTTAAGCAAACACAGCAGTTTAATTTCAGCAGTTTAACATCATTCATGTCACAGATGTTCATTAAAATTGTATTGGTTTTGTACTTTTGGATTTTATTTATAAATATATTTTGGGTTTTATAGTTATATTAGGATATAAGGATAAGAAATTTCAAATATATGTTTGTACATATTTAAATGATATTTTAATAATAATACTTTAAGTCAATCTACCAGAAAATAAAAGTTTTTTTTCTTTAAAAAAAGGGTACATTACTAAGTTTGATGAACATTGTTTCAGACATCCACAGGTCAAGAGTATATCCTTTCTCCATTACCACTTTTTACTTTAGTCTCAACCATGGTGTAGAATGAGTTCCTTCATATCATAAATGCTTTGCATGAAGATTGCAAATCTGATATCAACTAATGTTATAAGAAGTATAATGTTTCTGGCTATATAGTGAACATTAAAGAATTATTAGATGAGGTGAAATCTGAAATGGTCATTCTTGTTGGACAGCTCTAAGGAAGGAGGCAGAGCATGACTTCAAGAAAATTCCTTCCACTGATAATAAAGTGAAAGTGCATTATGAATGTTGCTTGGTAAGTGGGTGATGAAGGTTTTGAGGATGTGGTTGAGGTAATGAGAGAGAGCTCATCCAAGGTCAGAGGGACCTAGAAAAGTCAGTAAAAGAGTGATGGTGAAGACAATGTTGATGCATTAGTACAGCTAGCTAAGATCATGGTCCTTTACGTGAAGAGCTAATCAGCACCTTTCCCATTTTGGACCAGAGGTTTAAGATGCCCATGTAATAAATGTATGCAGACTTCCCAAAAAAGTCATAAAGATTTGCAAAGGAAAAATAAAAACTGGCAATCACAGCATTCTTAAAGGTACCTATATCTAGTGAGCTCCCTTCCCTGCTGTTCTGCATTCTGTTCCATAGCTATTTCCCCCAAATCTGTCACCTGTATCTTCTGCCAAGATTGATGTCAACAACCTGTCAGATGCCAGGCTCTGAACTATTGCACCTGACTGTCCTGCTTTCTAGTGTTCTCATCTTCATTCATGTGCTGTGCAGCAGCAGTCTCCAGCACTCATTGTCATAGCTTCAGTTTTATTTCCTGGTCTGTATGTCCAGAGGACTAATATAATCTGTAGTGTTTACTTTAGATGTAGTTTAGTTGAACAATTTTACAAATAACTTTAGTCTTGTGTTTGCAAACTTAATAGCTGTCTCAAGATGTCATTAAAATTTTGCAAGGGCACTTCATCTTATAGGGGAAAGTATATGCTATAGTGGACTGGACTTGATACTTTGAGAATTATAAAAATCTACAGATGAGGCCGGGCGCTGTGGCTCACGCCTGTAATCCTAGCTCTTTGGAGGCCGAGGCGGGCGGATTGCTCAAGGTCAGGAGTTCAAAACCAGCCTGAGCAAGAGCGAGACCCCGTCTCTACTATAAATAGAAAGAAATTAATTATATATATATAAAAAATTAGCCGGGCATGGTGGCGCATGCCTGTAGTCCCAGCTACCCGGGAGGCTGAGGCAGAAGGATCACTCGAGCCCAGGAGTTTGAGGTTGCTGTGAGCTAGGACGCCACGGCACTCACTCTAGCCTGGGCAAAAAAAAAAAAAAAAAAAAAAAAAATCTACAGATGAATCTGTCCCTCATAAATGTCAAGGAGTGTTGCAGAGTATATTTCTTTCTGTTTTATCTGCTCTCATAGCATTTTATGGGGTGGAATCATCATCTGTTTTTTTATGGTTTAAATGTTTTACATTCTTCAATGAAACACACTTGTATTATTTCTCTCTCCCTTCCCCTCCTCTCTCATCTTACAGGTGTAAATTAAGCTGCATTTTTAGATGTGGTAAAATTAAAATACTTTGCTTTGTTAGAGTACAGTAGATTGTTTATGAAGTATATGAACAGTCAGCATATATGGAAAAAATGGTACAGCATGTGGTGAAAGGATGTCCCGCACCACACCGGATGGCCCCCATGATGATTCTGTGTGGGCAGCACATGTGAGTGTTCGTAACAGTCAGCTGTTCTCTCCTCAGGTACAGTGAAGAGATGGTGCCCTGGCACCCTTGCCTGGAACTCATTAGCAACTGTGAGCAGAAGCTTTCCAGTCACACATCAAGGCGCTTGATCACAATGGAAAAGGTGAAGAAATTTGAGGTAAATTTCCCTGGTATTTTTAGGTAAATTCTGAAAGAATCAAAACTGGATTTTTCTAAATAGTTTTTCTGTGATGGAGTTTGGAAATGTTAGTCTTTGATTTTTAAAAAATTACAGATGAATTCAGGAAGAGGCAGAACTTGAAGAGGTTTGTGGCATTTGGTTGGAGTTGGAGGGTAGGAGTTGAACATAGAAGTTGGGTAGAAGAATAGAAATAGAAGTGGACCCTAACTTCCCAGGCTTTATTCGACATACTTGTTGCTAACTCAGCTATAAAATAGCATTCTTAAACAACTTTTGTCTAATTAGTAATCTTCCAGTTACCATTTTTTTCCAGAAGTAGAAATCAGGTAGTACATAATTTCAGACAATAATGTAGACAATACGTTGCTTTATATTAGGGAGAAAGTATATTTCCCCCATCTGTTAGGGCCCAACATGTGTTCTCTCTTTCTTTCTCTCTTACACACCCCCACACCCCCCCACACCCAGCCACACACACACACACACACACACACCCTCTTCATTTAAGCCTGAGAGGAAAGAATAAAACATCTGTTATTTCATGTCGAGATCAGAATTAATTATGAATAATGCCTCATAATGGAGCTTAATTAAATCTACAAAATGTTCTTTGAGTTGTACTTTTCTGGATTGACAACTTAAGCGCTCCCAGGTTCACTGGAAACTTGAACAAGCCCCAAAGGTGGTGATATCTGAAGATTTTGTCATATGCACCTTTGGTCTGCATTTGACTTGTTTTCATCTAATTTATACCTTATAGATTCTTTCACAGTAGTGAAACCTAATATTTGTTTGGTGCCTTTTGTATATATTATTTTATATCATTCTTGTTTTTGTTTTTTATTTTTATTTCCATTTGCTGTCTCTAATTGAGACCCGTATTACCATACACCTGATTTATGCTGACAGTCTCTTCAATGATCTCTCTCCTTCACACCTCTAGTTTTTATCTGTTAAATGAATCTTCCTAAACACTGCATTCATTATATTGTAACTTCCTATCCAAATTTTTTTAGCGACTCATTTTTATTACTGAATAATATTCAGAATTTTCAGTGTGACGCAAACTATCTTCAGTAATCAAGCTTCAATATCAGGGCATTTCAAGAAGCTAACCTATACATGTTTATTGGTGTCTACTATATATGTATGTGGGGTGTATGTATACACACACACACAGATGTATAGATATATGTGATATAGTTAAAATGAGAGTATATGGTAGTCATTTTTAAAGCAATAGTACTAGAGACTTATATTAAAATGTCTGATATCCTTGTAATGGCATCTTTGTACTCATTCTATTTCTTTCATAATTATTCAGCATGTTCTTGAAACTTATCTTTTAGATTTGCCTTTAAAGAAATATGTTCATACGTTTAAAGAAAAATGTTCATATTAAACAGTTATTTTGCTTTATAGTAATACTTTTCTTCAAATGATATTATTAGACTTTGTTGCTCACATTTGATACCTGACAGCTCACTAAATAAAAATGTTTGGAGATCAAATTCTGTTCCAAGGATGATGGTTTACCATTAAACATTTAAAACGTTGCATATTCAGAAATTCCACAAGTGGTTTCCAAATTGTTTGACACAATGACAACCTTCCAAAGTGACAATTTTGAATAACCAACACTCATTTGGTACATAGAAACCCTCTTATCTAACATCTATTTCAAACTCTGTTGATTAAACCGTACTTGCCATTCCTGCTCTATAATACACTGTCTGATGCCTGTAATATGCTGAATACTTTCAGCTGGTGAGTTACTTGGTCTCTGCTGTGTCTACATACAGCACTTCTGTACCTACCAGCTGAATTATCTGTTTACCAAGAATCAGTTATGCTGTTCTCAGAGCTGTTTATGCCAGTTACATTTGTTATGGTAATTTTGTAATCTAATTAAATACTAGTTAGATCAGTGAAATATGAGTGTAAGACTAAAGTTGTCATTTCTGTAAAAACGAAGTTGAATGCTTTAGAAAGAATAAAGTGAGTTGCTAAAATAGAGTCTTGAATTACAAGTGAGTTGGAAAAAAGTTATTGCAATCTAGTTTTTTGTACCCACATTGCTTTGTAAGTGCCCAAACTGAAAATCTTTATGGGTCTTAATTCTACATCAAAAAATTGTCAAATGAATATATAGTTTTTTAAGTTAAAATAAGTTTAAGCATTTTAATTTTTTCCTGCTCTTACGGACTTTTTCAATTAAGTAACCATATTAGTCTACTCAGGCTGCTATAACAGAATGCCACAGACTGAGTGGCTTAAATAACAGAAATTTATTTTCTTGTAGATCTGGAGACTAGAATTTCAAAATCAAAGTGTCAGTAGGATTGGTTTCCGGTGAGACCTCTCTTTCTGACTTGTAGGCATCTACTTTCTTTCTGTTTTCACATGGCCTTTCCTCTATATCTGCACTTTTTGGTCTCTCTTCCTCTTTTTATAAGGACACCAATCTTATTGGATTAAGTCTGTACCCTTAGACCTCATTTAACTATAATTACCTATTTAAAGGCCCTATCTCCAAACACAGTTACATTGAGGGTTAAAGACTAAACATATGAATTTTAGAGTGGGACATAATTTAAGTCATAAATCAGCCCATAACAGCAAACATTACCAGTACCTATCATATTAAATTAAAGGCTTCTGTTGTATGTTAAGGTATGTTTTTTCCCTCTCCTCTCTTCGTCACTTCTCTTGTATATGTTTATCTTTATATGTGTTTGAGGAAAGTCAGGCATTTGATAATTCAGATAGTTGCAGCTCTTAGAAATCATAGCATTTAATGGAATCATTTGAGTAAGTAATAATAGTAACTAACATTTATATGCCAGGTACACATGTAACACATGTAAAAAACAATATTACCTGTAGAGTTTATAATTTTAAGTCATGATATTATAGAGTAAGTGTCATTAGCATTCTTTATTGTGTGGTCCACATAAATAGTATTCCAAAGAATTGGAAGAAGGAAGATGTCGAGAAAAGACTCTTTAATAATTAATCAAGCCTCGTAATAAATCAGGCATTCTATTTCAATGGAAAAATTTAAAAATTAAGACCCATTATGGGCTAATTTCATATGTGCTTTCCTCTGAGTTTTATTTGTTTAAAAAGTCCAGTATTTTTTCCTGATGTATACTATTTCTTTAAGCAAATTTATTTGAGACTCAAGTAAAAAATAGGCTTTTGAGAATTTTTGTCCTGTATTAAAATGATAAATAAGGGCACTCACCTTGGGTATTTTTAAACCTATATAGGCAGTGTTAATTTTTGTCTAGTTTCCTTTTATCTTTTTACTTCTGTCCTTTTCAAATTGATTTTTTAAAAAACAAGGAAAAGCCCGATGCTCACGTAATTTTTTGAAATGGCCTTCATTTTATAAGATCAAGTTTAATTAGTGAATTTTGACTAGCATGACATTTACTATAACTGAAAATACTTTGTCATGTTAAATTAATCATGTTTGGTTTTAAATTAATTACTTCATTTATACCTTTTGTTTACATGGAGAGGAGTGTATATAATTGCAACAAGATCCCAGTCCTTTATAATGCAAGTGATGACATAAAATTGTCAAACAGTTCTCACACGTGTCTAACAAATTATTCTCCGGCTTGTTCAGTATTGTTGATTTTGGAAATGCAAGACTATTAATTTTAGATTTTTACACTTTTGTATACTGTGTCCCTTCATTTTTGATTTGTCACTTGTTAGGTTTAACTTCAGTATAACTTTTGGCCCACTTGGTATGTTGTTATAAAGTATTCTGCCTCTCCCTCCTTTTAAAATGTAAACATAAGTTATAACAAAAATTGTCTGAAGAATATTGATGTTTTATAAAATTTTGTATCCTTACATTATTGGCTGCAGTTTTTAGACTTGCTTATTGTACATAAATAGTAAAGAAGAAAATTTTTGATAACCATGTTAAAATTACAAAGATACCTGGTAAGAAGAGCCAGGTTTTTGCATTATTCTTTGTTGCTATATTCTGAAAGCTAAGTGAATGATACATAAAACTTTTATAATGCTTTATTAGTTTACAAAACATTCCTATTCATTTGACCTTATTATTAACATTTTCCCCATTTTAGAGACGAGGAAGTGGCCTAGGCTTAAATAATAAGTTGCAGAGTTGAGACCAAAACTCCACCTTACACTTGAAATTCTGTGTCCTTCTTTCTCCATCATGTTGTCTCTCTACCAAAATATATTTCTACCTTTAGAGTATGCCAAGATTAAAAGGTAAATATTCTTGAGTAGCCTATTACTAGTTTCTTTTAAAGATAGTGTTTCCTTGTCCTGTTCTGTTCTGCAAGTGTTGCTCATGAGGCCATGGTAGAGTGTGGTTTGTTTTACTAGAACTCATTTTCCCTCTTGACACAACATGTAGTTAATGCTGCTGTATATTGTTGTGGTCACGATGGTTACCTCTATAAAACATTTTTCTCATATAAAATTTATAGGTTAAAAATGCTGATCTCTAAAGTTGTCCAGGACAGATCAGAATATAATAGTTGTGTCTTCAATGAAAGTCACCTAAAACAATACTCTTTCAACCTTTTCTACCATAATCTATGTGGACAAATGAAAGAGTATGCCAAGTAGCTCTTTTCAAGGTTACCTTTAAATCTTTTTTAAAACTTCATGCAACTTTTATAGTCTATTCCATAATAGATTCTTGATTTAATATTAAAATTATTTTAAATTACCATTGCATTAAATGGGCCATAATGTGCCCTATTTATTTTGTGTCTTATTTATCTGACCTGCTACCTTATACTCCTAGTGGTTTGAGAAGTACTGAAGTATAGGTAAATTTAATTCTAGATATTAAATGGCTATTAATTTAGACTAAAGTTATAATGTTTTGTAAATCAGTTGTCATTTTTGTAGCTGAACAATACCCAGTATCGTTCAGATGATTTAAAATAAGGAATATTAGAAGGTCACAGTGGAAG